ACTAAAGTTTTATATTTGTATAGAAGTCTTCTTTTTTCATTTGAGGTGAAATTTATATAGAATGATGTGTGCAGAGTGTATGTACACTATTAATTAGCTCTGTAGTCTGTTTCTTCCCACTCAGTGGTGTTGTGTTAAGGGGATTGGCAACCACTTAAGGCTTCATTCCCAAAAAGTGTGAATTTTCTTTTTCTTTCTTTTTAAAAAAGATTTATTTGGTTTATTTGAAAGGCAGAGTTACAGAGAGAGCTTGATCTTTGATCTGCTGGTTCACTCCCCAGTGGATGCAATAGCTGGGGCTGGGCCAGGTCAAAGCCAAGAGCCAGGAGCTTCATCTGGGTCTCCCACATGAGTGTATTTTCCTTTGCTTTTCCAGGCCTTGGCTGGGAGCTGGATTGGAAATGGAGCAGCCAAGACTGGAACTGCACCTGTATGAGATGAGATGCTGGCATTGTGGGCGGTGGCATAACTCTACACCACAACACTAGCCCCAAAAAGTGTGTATTTCAAAAATAAACTTTTAAGGTCAAGATGCCGCATCCCATACTTGAGTGCCTGGGTTTAATACTCAGCTCTGGCTCCTGACTCCAAGCTTCCTGCTAATGTAAACCCTGGGAAACAGTTCTTTTTTTTTTTTTTTTTTTTTTTTTAAAGATTTATTTATTTTACTTGAAAGAGTTACACAGAGAGAGGAGTGGCAGAGAGAGAGAGAGAGAGACAGAGACAGAGACAGAGAGAGGTCTTCCATCTGCTGGTTCACTCCCCAACTGGCCACAATGGCAGGAGCTGCATCAATCAGAAGCCAGGAGCCAGGAGCTTCCTCCGGGTCTCCCATGTGGGTGCAGGGGCCCAAGGACTTGGGCCATCTTCTACTGCTTTCCCAGGCCACAGCAGAGAGCTGGACAGGAAATGGAGCAGCCGGGTCTTGAACCGGCACCCATATGGGATGCTGGCGCTTCAGGCCAGGGCATTAACCCACTGCGCTACAGAGCTGGCCCAGGGAAACAGTGTTAATGGCTCAAGGGATTAGGTTTTTGGTGCGCATGTGGGAGACTGGATTGAGTTCCCTGATCCCAGCTCCTGGCTTTACCCTTGTCTGTGGGGGTTGCAGGATTTTGGGGAGTGAATTGTTGGATGGGAATACTTTGTGTCTCCTTGCCTCTGAAATAATAAAAAGAAAAAACAGAAAAGTGATGCATGTACAGATTTTTCTATTTTTGTGTTATATAAATGTGTCACACAGTAAAATGATTATAGTCACAGGTTTTTCATTGTTTTCTAGATTGTTCCATGCTTTTGTTAAAATTGTTAGCATGGCTCATGATATTACACAGTACATGCTGGAGGAAATCACTTGAAGCTGTTTTCGTTAAATGTATACAGTTGTAAAGAAAGGGAAGACTGCCCTTTTGTTTTCGTAAGCTCACTATGCAAAAGAGGTAGTTAGTTTAAGATATTTGTGGTTTATAAGAAGCTTCATGATAAGGCTTGCCTTTATCTTAACTCACTTGAACCTCACATGAGCTGTGTGAAGGTCAAAGGCAGTTGTAAGTTCTGCTCTGCAGATGACAGCCAAGGTTTGTGGGAGGGGTGACCCAGAGGCAGGGCAGTCCGTTGGACCAGGATGCTCTCACTTTCCATTTTGTCCAGTGGCAAAGACGTCAGTCACACGGCTCTAATCAGGTGACATTCCAGATCCTGGGGTTTGTTTATGAATAACTACCAAATATTTTTTGTGCAGCTCAGAGTTAACTTAATGACAGCTCTGATACAAAGATACACCATGATGGTATTTTTGGTATTTTTAGTGCTCGATGATGCACTATATGGATGTAAAGGAGCTGTATCTATCGGGATCCAGGCAGGCACGGAACTATCCAAGTGTGTTATATTTAGAACGTGACATACTGATACTAACAGTCTCTTCTTACAAAAGTGAACAATACTGTAATCAAAGTGCTACTTTTAATGTGGCAAAATGCCTGTTGTTTCAGACATGTGTCACGTGTGAAGCTCTGTGAAGAAGAGAAAGCTTTATTGTTGCATCTATTTTGGCAGGTTTATATTCCACAACATCCTGAAGGTTTTTCCCTTCTTTCCCTTGAGTAGACAAACACTTTAGGACAAAACCATCTGGAGAAAATCAACTTGACACTATCTGGGTTTAGGGCTTGACAAAAATGCAGGCAATTTTGTTCTTGTTAATCGAGGTAAAGGTTTAACCCTTTAAGTCGATTGCTACTACCAGTTAAAGCTGGGGATCTACATGGCTCCTGTTGAAAGATACTCTTCTGGATACCTCCCTGGGGTAGAAACTTGCTGAAAGTCCTTTACAGAAATATTCCCTTCAAGCTTGCCTTTAGTTTGCATTCTGATTTTTGTCATTTTGTTGAGAAGCAGTTTTCCATTGCTATGCTAGGAATCTTAAAGGTCCCTCCATTGCTGATACAAAATAGTTTCAGTTACTAGAGGATAAATTGCATAGGAACTGAAAACTTTTGATCTCTAATATTGGTAAGGATGCCTGCCTGTAGAATACAAGTAATGTCACTCTTTTGAAAGCACTTTGTTCTTTGAAATAAGCGATGGTTGACCTGTCCCACGTACACCTGACAAAGGTGACAAAACTTGGTCAGCACGTAGGTGCTCTCTGTAGCCAGGATAGGAAGGAGCAGGAAGACAGATGGGAAGCCCCTTCCATTTCCTGCATTTCCTATGCTCCGTCTCTTTCCTGGCATCTTTCTTGGCTGACCAGCCTGGAGCTTGTTGAAACAGATTTGTTTTGAGGCGATTTAAGAAAGGATAACTTTTTTTCTTAAACATGAATCTGTGGGCTATGGTACCCTGGCTAGTCTAAGGCTGAGGCAGTGCTAGTTGAGGAAGAAGGAAAATGGATTATGGGGAAAGAGGAGAAAGAAAAGAACACTTAGAAGCATCTCAGTGCAGTGGTTTTGGATGGTGTGTCCGGATTTATAGCATATTGTGCCTAATTTGGGTGTGATCCACTTTGGGACTGGTTTATTCTTTGAGCCTTGGTTCTGAATGCTTTTATTTTTTAAAAAATGCTTCTCCTTTTCTTCACTGCTGTTGGGATTTTAGAGAATCAAGAAAAGCATCCATAGCCTATCTTCCTGACAAAATCACTGTTAGACTGTTGTACTTCCAGCCAAATCTGGCCTTCTCTTCTGTGGTTATTTTTATGTATCTGGAGTTGGAAGATGCCTATGTTTTTGTCTTCTGCTTTTTTTTTTTTTTTTAAATATTTGTTTTATTTGAAAGAGTTACAGAGGTAGAGACAGAGAAGTCTTTCATCCGCAGGTTCACTCCCCAAGTGAGTGGTTGCAATAGCCGGAGCTGAGCTGATCCAAAGCAAGGAGCCAGGAGCTTCTTCCAGGTCTCCTACATGAGTGCAGGGGCCCAAATACATGGGCCATCCTCCACTGCTTTCTCAGGTGTATTAGCAGGGAGTTGTATTGGAAGCAGCGCAGCCGGGACTTGAACCGGCGCCCATATGGGATGCCGGCACTGCAGACCTGTCTTTAACCCACTGTGCCAATGTGCCAGCCCTTTGCCTTCTGCTTTTATCAAATGTCTTTCAGTGTTTCCTTGGAAAGCTGGGTGAAGGGCTATTGGATGATACCACAGTTCTTTAGCTAAACTGTCACTCCAGGCTGAAAAAAAAATTTGTGTTACATGTTACCTTTTTCTCAGTTGGTGTCTAATATCTGTATACGTTATTACTGTTAAGTAAGGGAATAATGCTTACAATTATGCTGAAACTGACAATGATTAGAGGCTTCTGAGAAAACTCCTATACTTTTTTGAACTTTTCATAATTTGTGGCTCGAATTTATCAGCTGTTGCTTTCATATATATATTTGGTTTCCATTTGTATAAATTCTTAATGCTCATATCTAGTTGTATGTTCTATGGTAAAGTTATAACATATTATCAACCTTTATTCTGATTGATAAACCTAACAAGATAGCTTTGGGAAATGAGAAATGATGTGAGATACTGGAGACGGGCTGAATTTTTATTAGAGAAAACCTTTTGGTGTAGTGGTTCTGCTTTATTTTGCCTTAAGTAAGTAAATTCCAGTTCATTAAAGTCACTCACAGTTTTAATATAGCTACCTCTGTGAGGACACACTTCAGAATTCTTCTGTGACTCAACACAGTGATGAAATTTTATCATTTTATTTTGTTAAAGTTAGGAAAATGTATTTTCAGTCATGTGTGGAGAACAGAAGTTGCGCAATTTGGGATGCATTCTGTCACTGAAGTCTTTAATCTCAGATACTGTGTTAGAAAGAGATAGGTGGTCCTTATCATCCTGTTATTCTTGGAGAAGTGGTTTGTTGCCTCTTGTAATAATAGGCATGATAACAATAGAAGATCTGTAGATATAGTCTAATCATTTGGTTGATTGGCTGTGTTTAGCACTGTGTGTCCAGTACTTCCTCTACCTTGCAATAGTGCGCACAACATTAGTTATGATTAATTGTAGAATAATAAAGTTTACTTTATTCTTTTATGTGGTTATGCTTAATTGGAATTGTTTTTTAAATTATAGTGAAAAGCGAAGTTAAACTTTGTTACTTTAAGGCTGTATATTAAAACATCTTGCAACATGTTCTAAAGCTTTAAGATGAATGACTTTTCTGAAGTGTCTTTCACGCTGGAATGGAAAAAGATTTTAGAAATAGCTGTAGTAATTTAAAACTGTTAAGTAGCATTACTGCTGACTACAGTGTCTTGAAGGTACTATTATAACTTACTCTCATGGTTGCCATGAGCAGCATAATGAAAAGAGGAGGATTAGTGGTTAGTATAAATTTAAATTTTATAAAATTTATTAGAGCATTTTGGTAGTAGGACAAGTAAATGGTGGTTAATTTCTTGAAGAAAAAATTTATCTGTTAAAAGTGAATGTGTAAATGAGCATTTAACCTGCACAAAGGGAACCATCCTAAATTGTTCTATTTCTGTTTCTTTTAGGGCAGAAAAAGAATAAAAACATTCAGAATCTGAAGACTAGGACGAGCACAGGATGGGGACTCCTGGTTCTGGAAGGAAAAGAACGCCTGTGAAAGACCGGTTTTCTGCAGAAGATGAAGCTCTGAGTAACATTGCCAGAGAGGTGTGTCTGCTACACTCCCTCAGCACTGCACAGTGAGAGGATTGTAAAATGCTGGCATGACAGAGATAACAGATATTCATTGCTTCGAACAAGATGTTATAGCTGGCCTCCGGAATACCGTATTAGAATAAGATGTACTTGGATATCTGTTTACCTTATCTTGAATTAAGTTCGCATTATATTTTTAGGGTTGTTTGAGTTTCAGTTACTTGTCCTAATTTATTGAAATTTCTGATTAATCTTCAAAATTTAAACTGAAGTTAAGTAGAATATTGGAGGTATAGTAATTATATTATAGAAATGCTTATTGGTCTCTGTAGTTCCAAGAGGTGTTATATAAATGTTGATATAATGTAGATTCATTGGATTTTGAAACATGGCAGTGGAATTTTTAGTTTAATTCTTTCAGTTGCTCACAGAGCTTCTGGGACATTTTTATTTCAGTTGGTTGATGGCTTAGGAAAAAAATGTAAGGGATTGTCAACTATTGGCAACATCCTGTTGTATACTGGAAGTGTAAGAGAACTTCCAGCTGGGTTTCTTAGTTTCAGAGTCTGCCTGCAATATAGACCGATCGTACACTGATCTGTGTAAGAATTGCTTAGAGCGTCATTGTAGTTAGTGAGACTCATTCCCTTATCGCTTCCTGCTTGTTATTTTTGGTAAATAACTGATTTAAGACTAGTGCTGTTTCCTTTTGACATATTACCCAGTCTTCTTTTGATCCAGTTCTTTGTTAGAATTTTCCTCTTGAAAGACACTTAGCATTTGGCTTAGATGGCAAATCATTAGGACAGTATTTGGAGCCAAGAAAAGTTATCTAAAAATGAATAACAAAGTTGATATTATTTTAATAAGATTGATTTTAAAAAGTCAGGCACTTTCAGATTAAAAAACTAGAAGATACTTGAAAATGAAAAAGTATATATTACTTTACAGTGATCTTAAAATACTTGCATAAATGAAGGATTTTGGAAGCCATATAGCTTTTATTTATTTACTTTTTAAAATGTATTTGTTTATTTGAAAGGCAGAGAGTTACAGAGAGTCAGAGGCAGAGAGAGAGAAATCTTCCATCTGCTGGTTCCCCCCGCAAAGTGGCCAGAATGGCCATAGCTGGGCCTCTCTGAGGCCAGGGCCTGGCGCTTCTTCTGGGCCTCCAGCACTTGGGCCATCGTCCAGTACTTTCCCAGGTCATAGCAGGGAGCTGGATCAGAAGTGGAGCAGCCAGACTGGCACCCACAGGGCCTACTGCACCACAGCACCAGCCCCCACCACATAGTTTTTAGTTGAAAATAGAAACTACCCAAAATGTTTACCTCCAAAATCAGAAAGATTTACCCAGATTTCTGTAAGGGATTAAAGTGGCAGCTTCTTCTATGCTTCTTTTGTGTTACTAGTATTTGAACTGTTTTTCCCTTTTTGGTGTGATGCTTCCTTTAAAAATTGGGAAGGATACTAATATATAAGACTTGTAAATGCTTATTTTCTGACAGACTTTATTCTAAACTTTTTCTTTCTTTTTTTTTAAAGATTTATTTTTAATTTATTTGAAAGAGTTACATAGAGAGAGAGGTCTTCCATCTGCTGGTTCACTCCCTAAATGGCTGCAGCAGCTGGAGTTGAGCCGATCCAAAGTCAGGAGCCAAGAGCTTCTTCCGGGTCTCCCATGCAGGTGCAAGGTCCCAAGGACTTGGGTCATCTTCTGCTGCTTTCCCAGGCCATAGCAGAGAGCTGGATTGGAAGAGGAATAGCCGGGACTCGAACCTGCACCTCAGCCCGGGGCTTTAACGCACTGCGCCACGGCACTGGTCCCTCTAAGTGTTTTTCATGCATGAATTCATTTAATTCTTCAAAAATTCTGTGGCTGGTTTTATTATTCTCTCTACTTTATAGGTGAGGAAACCATTGCACAGAGAAGTTGAGTAACTTCCTCAGGGTTACAGAGACAGGAAGTAGCAGAGTTTGGATTCAGGCATGAGGTCTGGCTCTGAAGTCGGTGCATTTATTTATTTAAATTTTTAAAAAAGATTATTTATTTGAAAGGTAGAGTTACAGAGGCAGAGGCAGAGACAGAGAGAAGTATCTTCCATCTGCTTGTTCACTCCCCAGATGGTTGGAGCTGGGCCGGTCTGAAGCCAGGAGCAAGGAGCTTCTTCCAGGTCTCCCATGTAGATGCAAGGGCCCAAGCACTTGGGCTATTTTCTACTGCTTTCCCAGGCCATAGCAGAGAGCTGGATCAGAAGTGGAGCAGCTGGAACTCGAACTGGCACCCATATTTGATGCCGGCACTGTAGGAGGGCTTTACCTGCTACACCAAAGCACCAATCCCTATTTAATTTTTTAAAAGATTTATATGGAAGACAGAGTTATGTAGAGAGAGCAAGAGACAGAGATGAAGAGATCTGCCATCCTCTGGTTCACTCCTCAAATGCCCACAACAGCCAAAGCTGGACCAGGCTGCAACCAGGTATCAGGAATTCCACATAGGTGTCAGGGCCCCACGCACTCGGGCCATCATCCGCTGTTTTCCCAGGTCTCAGGGACGCCACATAGGTGTCAGGGCCCCAGGCACTCGGGCCATCATCTGCTGTTTTCCCAGGTGCATTAACAGGAAGCTGGATTGAAAGTGGAGCAGCTGCGACTCAAATTGGCACTCAATGTGGAGTGCAGATGTTGTAGACTGTGGTGTAACCTGCTGCTGCACAATGCTGGCTCCCATACCATAGTTTAAAAACATTAGAGGATAGATAGCATTTTTAATTGCTCTCTCATGTTTCTTGTGACTCTCTCTATCTCTTTTAAAGTTTTCATAGCCTTTCATAAACTGCTTGTTCACACACTGGGAAGTTGCCATTCACATATAACCCAGAGTCCCTATTTTCTCCAGTGGGAACACCCCTTTCACCAAAAACATTGCTTTAAATTGGAAACAAGCAAAAACTATCAAAATGCTCACTACAGTAAAAATGCAGCTTAATCATCTTTTCTGTAGTTAAATTTTAAGAGTTTATCTTTCCTGACTTAAAATTGCTTTTTGAAGTGTACAGGGAGTGCTATTAATAAACACAAATAGCCTGTTTTTCTTCTTGCTTAGTGTCTGCTCAGGTTTCCATGCTTCCTAGTTAGCCAGCTAGCAGGCAGCTGGAGAGGTGAGAAGGAAGAAGGGATAAACAAACATGTTCCACAAACTGCACTAAAACGCTGCGTGGATTCACAGAACATGAAGCGTGCCACACTGACCACTGAGTGGACGGTTCTGGGGCACTAAGTGCGTATGCATCATTGTGCAGCCATCGCCACCTCCAGAATTTCTGTCGTCTTGCAAGACCTCAGTGCCTTTTCAGAAGACGTGGAGATGTTTGAAGTCTGCTCCATGAGGGCAGTAGTGGGGTGAATGCAGGAGCTCCGTCAATCTGCAGCATGCTGCTGTCTTGCTGGGGAAGCTGGAAGCTGTCACTGTCGGTGAAAGAGCCCAGAGGGGCAGGTGGAAGGGTCGTCAGCAGACCTCATGTGTGATCATGGATCGACAGTCTCAGGGAAAGACTATGAAGGGCAGCGTTGTGCCAAGTTTGAAAGCTGCTTTGCCACATTATGGAATGATAATCATATGGCTTGACAGAGCTAATTGCCATGGCGATTTTACTACTGTGAGTAATTTATTCATTTTTAGGTCATGGTAAATCAAAGATAAAAAGCTTTTGGCAAAGACAAAAGTCTTTAAAAATGCAGATAATTAGGAGCCGGAGCTGTGGCGAAGCAGGTTAAAGCCCTGGCCTGAAGCACCAGCATCCCATATGGGCACTGGTTCTAGTCCCGGCTGCTCCTCTTCTGATACAGCTCTCTGCTATGGTCTGGGAAAGCAGTAGAAGATGGTCCAAGTCCTTGGGCCCCTGCACCCACGTGGGAGACCCAGAGGAAACTCCTGGCTCCTGGCTTCTGATGGGCGCAGCTCTGGCTATTGCGGCCATCTAGGGAGTGAACTAGCAGACGGAAGACCTCTCTCTACCTTCTATGTAACTTTCTTTCAAATAAATAAAATAAATCTTCAAAAAATGCAGATAATTACAACAGTCTGTAATTATTATGGATATAATACCATCTTTTATTTAAAAATATGGTCCATTTTTAAAATTAATTTTAAGGGCTAGCGTTGTGGAGTAGCAGGTTAAGTTGCCACCTGCAGAGCTGGCATCCTATTTGGCTGAGTTCTGGCTGCTCCACTTCCAATCCAGCTCCCTTCCATGCACCTGGGAAAGCAGCAGAAGATGACCCAGATGTTTGGGCCTCTGCACCCGTGTGGGAGAACCGAAGAAGCTCCTGGCTCCTGGCTTTTGCCTGGCCCAGCCCCGGGCCATTGAGGCAATTTGGGGAGTGAACCAGTGGATGGAAGATCTCGCTCACTTGTTTTTCTCTCTCTGGCCTCCCACCTCGACAGCTCTGCCTTTCAAATAAATAAAATAAATCTTTAAAAAAAGAATTTTTAATATCATTCATTCAGTAAATATTTGCTGAGCACCTATTCTCTGCAGTACTACTGTGTGGCATATGGAGGATATGGCGTGGACCAGGCTAGAACGGCCACTGCCTCTGTGGAACTTCAATTCCAGAGGGGATAGTAGACACAAAACAGATACTGACACAGTGGGGCAGTTCCAGGAAATAGAGTGATACATCTGTGATGTGCTTTGAGGAAACAGAAATTGTTTTGAAGAGTGTGTAACACAGGGACTGAACATATTTGGGGGCTTTAGGCAGGCTTCCTTTGAGGAAGTGCTTTCAACTGACGTTTGAAGGCTGAGTGGAATTACTGAAGGGAAGGGAGTTGTCGGATGTGTGGAAGAGCTTTGCGTTCACAGGGAGCAGCATGTGACAAGCCTGGAGACTGAAGAGGCATGGAGAACTCAAGGAAAACAGCAGCTCCAGCAGCTAGCACGGAGCTCTTACTTTGTGCTAGGGCTGTTCTGAGTGGTTTAAGTGAACTTAGAGGTCTTACATCC